ATGTGTGAATAAAATGATGAATCATACTATTTTTTATATGTTAATAATTCTGATAATGCACGTATTGAATGATGATTTAAAAAATAATAATTAAACTACAATAAAATCTATTGCAATTTGATCTAAAAGAATTTATAATAAAAATGTAGCAACACTATAGGTTAGGTTATTATAATATATATTTTGTACAACTAGTGATTATGGATTATGTTTTGACAACGAAAAATTTAAAATGTGTGAATAAAATGATTTCATGTTATTTTTTTATATTTTAATATTACTGATAATTCACTTATTGTCAGATGAAATACTCGCACAAAATTATATCATATATTTTAATATAAATTATTATGATTTAAAAAATAATATGTAAACTGCAATATAATATATTCCAATTTGATCTAAAAGCATTTATAATAAAAATGTAGCAACACTATAGGTCAGGTTATTATAATATATATTTTATACAACATTGATTATGGATTATGTGTTGACAACAAAAAAAATTAAAATTTGTGAATAAAATTATTTCATACAATTTTCTTATATTTGAAGTAGTAGTGTAAAATAGTAACAGGCAGTAATAAGTTTTGCTATGAAAATATGCCAAAATTAAACTATATTTGATTTTCTTCAAGGTGGTGAATTTTGAGAATGCAAAAAAACATTTGTTTTATATTAGATGAAATACTAAGTTCTGATATTTGAAAATATTATCAGATTAAAACTTACCAGATTCCCGTTCGTTTTCACTACAAAACAGTAATTACACTGATCGCGAAATATTATAATATAATATAAAACTTCCGTCTGTTATTTAGGATATCAGTAACTTCTGCCATTAACACCGAAACTGATGTGACGTTGTAACGAGTCAGTTGTAACGAAAAGCTCATGCTAACCCTGCAGAGTGAAGTTGACTCAATTTGAGGATGATCACTGTGTCTTAATTTATGTTTTTTTTCAAAACTATAATTCTATATATTGCAAAACATATATTGTCGAAGTATACACAAACATAAACTTCTCATTTTATTTTTTTCGTTTTTGAACAGCAATTAGAAATAACAGTTAGGTGGCTTCTTAGATCTACAAACATTCTATGTTTGAATGTAACGGCTGACGGTGTCCATCCTGACCGCTGAGCTCTATGGCCATATAGTGGCCGATCCGTGCAAGATCAAATATGTCTATGACCAATCAGAGTTCGGCATTGTAGTTTAGCTTAAATTTGATACAAACACATACATATTGTGTATTAGATGGCAACACTAAATAATATTAGAATATGATATCTCCATTTGGGCAACCCAGTAGGTGCCATTTTTCTGAAAGTGGTGATAAATTTGAACATATATTACTAACCATAATCAATAATGTTATATATATATATATATATATATATATATATATATTTGATAGTTTTATCGACGTTGATACATATTTGAAATACTTTTGCGACCCAATCGTTGAATTAAAAAAGATTAAATAGAAAAATTATATATATATATATATATATTGTTATTACATATATATATATATATATATATATATATGTAAATATATTAATATATTAGTATATTATTCTTTTACACATTTTTTTTAAATTTAGTGTTCAATAAATTTTAATTTAATTAATTTTTTTTGTTCTTCCTGGTTTGGTTTCTATAAGTTTTTTCTTTTTATATATTTATATTCATTATGAACTTTTGTATCTATGTAATATGTTTTATTTGATTGAATTTTATTTATTATGCATTTATTACTTATATATTATATATGTCGCTACGCGGTTATAAATGTATAATATAATATACATATACATATATATATATACTCGTATATATATATATATATATATATAATTAATACTGGTACAATTGCAGAAACTTCTGGTACAATAATTTAACATTGAAGGAATAAAAATTAATGATCAGTACAAATTTATCAATGATTAATAACAATTATTTTAAATAAATTCAAATAGATTATTGCTAATATGGTATATTTGTAAGTGTATTTTGATTTTTTTTTAATTTAGAAAAAAACGACTTTCTTGAACATTGTGAATGCTTCGAAATTTTTTTTTTGAATATATCTTTAAACATTCAAAATTTTGAAAAAATTTAAATGTTTTCAAAAAAGTCGAAATTTTTCAAAAATTAAATAAAAACCAAATGTTTCATAATTTGTTAATATTCCTAAAAAACTAAGTTCTTGCAATTTGTATTAAGGCACAATGCACCACTACTTACAAGCTTACAACTGTCCGGTATTGAATTAATTTCTCACTTATACGGACATAACTTTTCTCAGGGGTGTCAAAATGACTGGGAAATTTAATATATCAAAAAATAATATTTTTTTATTTTTGTCGACTTCAATAAATTCTCTGCGAAAGGTAAAAAACGTATGGGAAATTATATTAGTGTGAATTTCTCGTTTTGTAATTACATATTTGGACCGATGAAAAATAATTTGTATAGGATCCTGGAATCCATGAAAGAATTATATGTTTTTACATATATAATCGACATTTTCTCCAACTCTTTCATTGTACACATTGGGAAGTTTATTTCGTCGTATGCCCAAGAGAGAAATACAACGCAATGTATGCAAGATATAATTGCACATCGTGATCGGCAAACGTTGAATTTAAGTTAACCATATAACGGTGCACGTTTAGAATGTTTCTTTGATTTTGATTTTCTGTGTCGATTCATTTCGTATAATCAGTTCAGATACTCTCAGGCCGTCGATTCAAGTTAGAATGTCGAAGAAGGTCCGTATCTCTGATCACTGTTATCATCGTCTTCAAGTGAAATGATTCTTTGTGCATTTTTGATCTCCCATGTTAAAAACGAACGATCGAGAGATATGTAAATATTGAAACGAGGAAACAATACGATAAAAGAAATTTAATGAGACACCATCAATGTTTTGCTTTGTAACTATAAGTTGTATGTATATCACATTTCTTTTACTGGAGGAGTACAAATGGTTGAATGCGATTTAAATATTTACTGATAATAATTTATTTTCTAAAAGTAATTATAAATAAATAAATAACTTGAGGAATTGATAAAACAATATATTATAATAGTATGTACATAAAATATAATAAAAAGATTGCATTAATAACAATGGTAAATATCAACAATATTACACAGTACCTTTATTCAAAAATATCTAGTTTCAGTAACTTTTTCGCGACAGTGTAACATGATGAATTCTATAATCACAATCCTGTCAGATGTTGACCGTCATTGTCACAGTGATCGATGGGATATTAAATATTTTGAAATAGATTATTATAAATACTGTAACGTTGTGTAATATTTATAAGAATTATATAAACTAACAAAGTTAAATGGTATTATATTAAATTAATATATTAATATATTAAAGTATATAAGTGAGATTTAGAACTTTAACCAGGATTAAAATTGAAATCTCAATTATATTCGATACTCGAAAAAAAAATTGAAATGAAAAAAATTGTTTTCCAAAAGCAATAACTTCGTCAACGAAGCAAAAAGTTTTTTGATCATTCAAATCGGATGCTTATTTCTCTCAAAAAAGGCGATTTTTTGTACATTTAGCACTGTATATTTTAAATGGCTGGACCTGTCTTTGCCAAAAACTAATCACCACTTATTCCAATCATTACAAATTGAATGTTTTTTAGATCATTCAAATCGGATGCTCCGTTCTCTCAAAAACTCGATTTCTATTTTCTGCACTCTTTGCTCTTTATCTCCGTAACTGCTGGACCTGCCTTTGCCAAAAACTAATCAGCTCTTCTCCTTATCAGTAGGAATCGAATATTTTTTTAACCATTCTAATCGGTTGATCCGTACGCTCGAAAACGTGGGCGAAAATTTGTATCCATACATACATACACACACACACATCCATTTTTTCTGAAGTATGCCGAAATGTTCAGAAACCTTCAAAACGTCGAGAAATGTAAAAATTTTCAATTCCGATTTTCGGCCCATTACAATAACTTACCCTACGGGAAGTTAATAAATATTATTTGAAAAACCATCTCATTTTGTCTGTGCGTTCCTTACTTCCATACTACAAAATATATTAACAAAATACATTTTGCTTTTTCATAGTATAGACAAATTTATATAGGAAATATGAAGTACTCGCAAATAGAGCTAAATTGAACAATTCTTTATTCTTTATAATATACAATTTTTATTAATACCATTAATACTTTATATAATAAAACGTTAAATTTAATTATAACTTATCTAAATAATACTCTTACTAACTGAAAATTACTAAATACTGATCTTTGTGTATCAAGCAAGTTGCAATATTGTTGCAATTTTCTGATATTTTATGCATATATTTACAATTGTTAACGAATGAAACTTCAAATATTAATAAAAAAAAACTCATTATAAAAACAGCATGATCAAACTTTATGAAAAATTAATCAAGACGATGTTCTATTTGCCATCGTTTGAATAAACTTTGTAGAAATTAAAATGTATTTGATTTAAAATTTTGAAATTATTCAATACTAATATTAACAATCCTTTTTTATGAAATTTTTTCTGCAATGTACTTCAATCAATAATGAGAGGATAAAATTATATATAAAAATATATTTTTACGGAACCGGAAACTAGACTAGTGTGATTTCACAATTTTTATAATTAACTGCAATTACAATTTTTAGTTTATTTTACTGAATCTGGTTTCTTTTACTGGTTCGACTATAGATCAATAATATTGAACTTTTTATTCGCTTTACCTTGAAATATACGCCTCTAAAAATATATCAATATATTTGTCAGCAGGAGTTGTGATTGTTTCAGAATTTAATAGTAGGAGTTGTATTAGTTTGCAATGACTATACTATTTTGGAATCGTAGTCAAACAAGATTTTATTGGTCTTAAGAGAATAAAATGATAATTCTTTTATAAATAATTTTATCTAATAATTAGCTGATTTACTAATGTTCGATTTTCATCTACAGGCCTGTTGTTATAATCGACAGTTCTGAAGACGCCGACTCGAAGCAAATATCTACGGCAAGCATCACTTTGAACAACAACATCGCAGAAATCAAACAAATTGATGCAATTAACAAGAAAGACGATCTTCTGCACGATATTGATGTTGCTCTATCGCAGAAAAAGGCCATGGAAAACTTAACTGAACCAACAAAAATAATTGATACTCATAAAAATATTAATGCTGACAAAAACGAGTGTAATCTGAATATCCCGTTGGATGCAGTTGAAAACCATGAAAAATTATCGGTTGATAAATGTGTTGTGGTGAAAAAGTCAAGTGCACTTCAAGAAGATACATTACCGAAATCCGATCTTTGCGCGTCAGACAATCCGGTGTCAGGCAATAAAAAAAGTGGAGAAATTATAGAAAAGAACTACCCAAGTGCAATGAACGTTATTGAGTCTACTAAAGTGGATGTGAACTTTGATACAGTGAGAATGGAATCTGATATCTTGGCAGAGAATCTAGTAGTTGCCAAGACGTTAGATGAGTGTTTAAAAGAGAACGTTGATGTGGACTTGAGTGATTTTTCAAAAGAGGGCGCCGATGTGAATTTAGAAGATATCGAGATTGATTTCGAAGATCTGGACAAGGAGCTGGTTGATGTCGACGCAGAAGAAAAGGCGGACGGCGACGGAGCGCCCAGCGATAATCAAGGTCAGTGTAAAAAAATTTTAGAATATCAAAAAAATATCTTGCTGCAATTTTTAATAAGATATACTTGCTGCTTTAGATGTTGACCAAAAATAGTAATCGAAAACATTGTTTTATATTCACATGCTCGAAAAAATTTTCACATCTGTGCGCGTGTCTTTGTGGGCCACAATTTATCTGTGGTAAAAGTTAATTTGCGAACGCTCAAATCCAATTTTAAATTTTGGGACAAATTTTAGTTAAATTTTGCAATTTTTTAAAAATTGCTTATTTCTTCTATAAATACAATCACATACAATTGGTATTAATTAACTTCCCGTAGGGTAAGTTATTGTAATGGGCCGAAAATCGAAATTGAAAATTTTTACATTTCTTGACGTTTTGAAGGTTTCTGAACATTTTGGCATACCTCAGTGTGAATGTGTGTGTGTGTGTGTATGTATGTATGGATACAAATTTCCAGTCACGTTTTCGGGCGCACGGATCAACCGATTTGAATGGTTCAAAAAACATTTGATTCCTATTGATAGGGAGATTAGTTAGTTATTAGTTTATATATTATTGATTAGTTTTTGGCAAAGGCAGGTCCAGCAGTTACGGAGATAAAGAGCAAAGAGTGCAGAAAATAGAAATCGAGTTTTTGAGAGAACGGAGCATCCGATTTGAATGTTCTAAAAAACATTCAATTAGTAATGATTGGAAAAGTGTTTATCAGATTTTGGCAAAGGCAGGCCCGGCCATTTCGAAGATACGGAGCTAAATGTGCAAAAACGGCAGTTTTTGAGAGAATTAAGCGTCTTATTTAAATGATTCAAAGAACTTTCTGCTTGTCTTACCTAAATAATTGATTTTGGAAAAAAAAAATTGTTTCAACTTTTTTTCTCAATTTTTTTTTTCAAAAAAATTTTTTTTTGTATATCGAAAATAATTCAGATTTTATTTTTACTTCTGACTAAAGTTCTAATATACTTTGAACAAATAATTTCAACTTTGCAATTCAGTTATAAATATTAGACAATGTTACAATATTAATAATAATCTATTTCAAAACATTCAGTATTCCTCGAACATTTCGTTACGGTACGGGAAGTTCCAGCAATTTGCCTTAAGGCACGATGCCATACACTCCCACTAGTTAGTTTTGATATAAAACATGTTGAACTTTATAAATTATTAAATAAATTAAAAATTCATGATATTCGTTATAGAAAACAATATGATAAATATTAAGATTCGCTCGATTTAAATAACATTTTAACTAATTCGTTAAGTGAAATGATATGGAGACTCATGACAATTTTGTATGTTGTATGAAGTTGATTGGTATGAATTTTTTTATAGTTTTTAATTTTACGAGTTTACGAATATTTTTTTAGGTCCAATTTTTTTAGTCATTCTTGGTCTTCTTCAATAAATCATTATATATGTATTTGCGTCATGTAGTTATAAATTTGCTAAAACTCTCCTTCGATAACTAAGGTTGCTGGATTATAATTTAATCCTTAATTGTAGCTGTGGTATTAAACACTCCCTCTACCAGGGGTAGCAACCATCCCGTGTAAAAGGTCAATGCCATGAATCACAATCATATGAAGTTTGTCACCTTCATGACCGATATAATAAAACGAAAATACGATCGAACAATATACTTATTGATATTGTTATTATTTTTATATATTTTTTGTTTTTTATGTTACGTATATCTTTATATATTGTGTTTATTGGTTGGTATAATTTTTTATAGTTTTTATTTTATTTGATAACAACCCAGATATAAGTTGATCTTGTAACTTGTTTTGTGAAATGAACAGAAAAGTGTGTTTTACCAAGATATAAAATTAATTTATATATCACTCCATAGAGAGAATTCTATGGCTTTGTTTAGTATGAACTTACTCATTGCAAATTTTCACAATGTTTCATTCCAATGATGCTCAGGCATATGCATTCCAGGGTAATCTATGATGTTTATTATAATCCAAGCACAAACTTAATGGTCTTATTATTCTGCAGTATAAATGGCCATATCTATTATCACTCTTCATAAAGCATCTAACAAGGGCTTGGTCAGCTAATATTTAAACCTATTATTCGTACAGAATTTCTATCGAGTATTTTCTGAAAGCATTATCCGTCCGGGATATCTTTATGGTCTGACATTAATAACCTGTGCGATAAGAATAAAAAGAAAAAATACAACATACATCGAAACAATACCCGCCAACAATAAAACATTCAATATAATATCGAATCAAATACTTCGCAAGGTCAATTTCTCATAGTGTACTCGGGCCCATGTTAAAGATCCTCGAAATGATTACAAGTGTGAATACACTTTAGACAAGTCTCATAGACCAAATCTAATAATAATATAGTTATGTCAGAGGGAATAGATCACTATTATATCAGTTCTATATCTGAATTTCAACAATTTGACCTGATGTGACTTATTGCCAGACTTTTGCTGGATGGTACCTATATGGACTATCCTCGTCAAACCAGTTCAAAAATTAATATTACGATGATAATATTACGTGTGTTTGTGTGTGTGTACGGATACAAATTTTTGTCGACGATGATAATTCAAAAAATATTAGATTCGATTTGATAGGGGGATGTCCTGATTAGTTTTGGGCTAAGACAGATCTTGCCATTTTGTAAAGGCGGAACAAGAATTGCAAAGCTTTTAAGAGAACAAAGTCTGTGATTTCAATAATTAAAAAAAAATCTTGATGATATGAGCGGTTTTAGAGATCCAGAAAGAAAACTTAAAAGGATGCCATTTCGTTTTGAAAGATGATTTTTGGCCATATGCGCATCAAATTGAGATATTTTACAAAGATTTTAATAATAAGTACAAATTTTATTTTTATTTTTTGGATTCCGTACCAAGAGTTTTTGTTTATAAAGTTCACTTATAGATTTAAAACGAATGTATTCGATATTTTCCACAGTATAAACTAACCGATTTAAATGGGTTTCAGAATTAAAAAAAAAGACTAGTGGGGCGTATGGCATCGTGCCTTAAAGCAAATTGCTGGAACTACCCGTACCAAAAATTATTATTTTTTTAAAAACGATTAACATTTTTGAAAAAAATTTACTTCGAAAAAATTAGATTTTTGAAAAACTATAAATTCTACAAAAAATTACTTTTTTTTCAAAAATTTATTTGGAAAATGAATGTTTTCTTCATTTTGACATATTTTGGAAATTCTGGACTTTTTTCCAGAGCAATTGTACTGCTTTAACTGCATAGAGACGAAATGTCAAAGCGCACAAGCGCCGCGTCGCCGTCAAATTTATACTCATTGTTAAAATCTCTATAAAATATTTGATAATTTTATATGCATATGTCTAATGATCGTTTTTAATGACTGCTAGACCTGCCTTCATGAGAATTTGACCAATTCTTTATCTTGTCAAATAAAATGTTTTTGAATTATTCAAATCGGACGCTCCGTTCTCTTAAAAACTGAATTACGGTTTTTTGCACTTTTTGCCCCATATCTTCGAAACGGGTAGACCTGCCTTCTCCAAAAACTAATAAGCACGTCTCCTTATCAATACGAATCGAATGTTTTTTGAATTATTCAAATCGTTTCATTCGTATTCCCGAAATCGTCGACGAAAATTTGTATCCGCACACACACACACATACATTCATTTTTTCTAAGGTACGACAAAGTATTCAGAAGGTTTTGAAACGTAAAAATATATAAAAATTTTCATTTTCGATTTTTTTGGCGATTACTAGAACTTGCCCTACGGGAAGTTAAAAAAAAACGAATTTTCAAAAAATTTCAAAATTTTCAAGAAATTTTAAAATTTTCAAAATTTTCAAGAAGTCTTAAAGTTTTCATAATTCAAAGTTTCAAAAATTTCAATTGTTTGTTGTTGAAACAACTTTGTCAAAACTTAAAAAAAAAAAAAAAAAACTAATATTTTCAAAATTTTCTAATATTTCATATTACGGTATGGAAAGTTTCAGAAATTTGCATTAAGACACATATATGCCCCACTAGTTATACCAATTTTTTGCACATATTGGGATGAAATTCAATCTGGGTACTTTTCTTATGAGTTTTGCATTTACTTTATCGGAAAAGTAAATATGTCTAAAATGTAAATTTCAAAGTGTTATCAATGATAAATAGTTAAACAAATGTAGGCGTCATCTAAGAAAACTAATATGCAATCACAATTTTCTCATTTGTATCATTCCGGAAGTTAGTCGAAGGGGCGAGTACCGGCAAGCCGCGTCTCGCCGCGGGGCTCCGGGTTGATATATTAAACTATTTGCTGACCCTTAGCACAAGACGAAAAATTGCATCACAATAATTCATCTTTTTATTCAAAAAAGAAAAAACTTAGTATTTACAATTTTTCATTCATTTATAAATGTGTTTTTTGTGGTGTTGTTCGTTTGATGTTTGATGATCAATATCTCCTAAAATTATCTTACTTTATCAGCTTTAGAAATTGGGTTCATTGAAAAAAATTTTTTTTTATGTTCGTTCAAGTCTGCAACACATTGAAAATAGGAACAATATTGCATGCCAAAGAGAATTGTGCACTTTTTGTATCTACTTAAAAAGTTTACAAAAGGGTGTAAAATAATTTATTGTCAATTATAAACTACACATAATTGTTTTGTATGCGATAATAAATAAGTAATGTTTCTTAACTTGATTTACAAATTTCTCAATAAAAAGAGGAAAACTAATTCTGGGAACAATGGAAACAAAAATCATATCAATTGAAAACCCAAAATTAGGCATAATCGATATTCCACTAACTTAAGGAACCAATTACAGGACACAAAACTTAAATTTTTAGCACGTAGACAATCATAAATAACGTATCTTTTCATTCGTTTATATTTATATATGGTAGGGCGAGGCACAAAGGTCCAATATGACTTTGAGCAATTATATTGTGAAATCCAAACCAATCACAAACAATTATCACAACAAATGACACATATCAAGCAAACAACTATT